CCCCAAAACCCCAAAACCCCAAAACCCCAAAACCCCGATTTCTATGAATTTATAGAATTAATTTTAGATGACCTGGGTGATTTCACTAAAATTGGCATCATCTATCAGTTTCTCTACTGGAATCACAAATGTGTCATTATAATCCTTCAAAGCGCTTGATCCACCGAACAGTAGGACCACTTCTTCATTGGCATTCGCCACGGCAGTGGCTATTCTGCCATCTGTGAAGAACTCACAAGTTGGATCTGCGTCTGATTTGATGAAAGTGAGCCATTTGTTAGTTTCTATGTCATATCTTCTGATGCTATCAAAAATTGAGGTCCCGCTAAAACCTCCATACACGATTACGTATCTGTTCTTGATGAGAGCACTGGCATGAGAGCACATGATGGATGGCATCTCACTGATTTTAGACCATTGGAGCTCCTCCAAGTCCAAACGATAAATGCTTGAAGACAGCGTCTCGTTGCTCCTTCCTCCAAAAATCAGTAACTGGGGATTAGATTCTTCATCGTAGTATAAATGAGATGTGTGCATTTCCAGTGGAGGGGGAACATCCTCAACAGATTCTTTTCCACTTGTTAGTAATTGAACCCATTCGTTCTCTTTTTGATCGAATTCATACAGATCGTTAAGAGGACCCTCGCTTGCATTGGCTCCACCATAGCAATATATTTTCTGATTCTGGTGATCTCGGACAAGAGTGTGAGAATTTCTTACTCTTGGGAAAGGCATACCTTCTGAGAGGTCAAACTCGACCTTCTTCATCTGATAATCTGCGTCAAGAGCAAAGAGGTCGTTGTACTGCACATTATTGACAGAGTCCTGCCCTCCCAAGATGAGGAGTTCCTTATTATCCTTATCATAGACAGCAGCTTGCCCATTTCTGGCTGTAAACTTGTCGTCGATATTCTCATATTCAATCCTCTTAAAGTGGGTCGAGAAGTCGTCTTTCTGGACGGTAATAAGCCAGACATCATCGAATTGCTTCTCTCTGTTAGCCCCACAGCTCATTAAGAAGCAGTAGGCAGTGCCGTCGTCAGTGTCTTTAAAGTAATTCAGAGTGGGGTGACCTCTCTCTTCTGGAACAGAGTCCATTAGGAACTTAATTAAATTTTATAGAAAATTTAAATTTTGATTTATCAGGTTTCTATAATAATTTTCGTGACAGGGGTTTTGGGGTTTTGGGGTTTTGGGGTTTTGGGGTTTTGGGGTTTTGGGG